CCCTTCAATCCCGGGATCCGCTGCCCCATCTGCGGCCCGGGACCGGCTCGGGAGGGCATCAGGAGGAAGAGGAAGGGAGATCAGCTCCTTGCTGGTCTCCCCCCGGGCTGTGAATGCAGAAGTGATGTGTATTACTGTTAGAGGAAAAATTACCTCTCTAGGTTTACTTGTATAATCATGCTTAGGCTGGGCACACACCTTACAACCATCGCAAGACTTTTGTCTTGCAATGGTTGTAAGGTACTTAAAAAACCGTACGATCTGCCTATGATGCATAGGCAGATCGTACTTGCGATGACCGAACAGGCAGTGTGCGCTTGCGCACACCGGCCCGTCTGGCTTTTATCTCACGAACATGCTACACACCCGCCGAACATCCATACGATGCTCGGCGGGTTTTGAAACATATTCGTACGATGCTCGGCGGGTTTTGAAACATATTTGAAACTTCTGACCAGAAGTTCAGGTATTGGAGAAGATATCGAGCATTTGGGCGAGTACAAGTACTTGCCCAAATACTCTGTATCTGTGCAAAAATTATTATTTTGTACTTTTTCATAACTTTTTAAAATTTGTATTATTCCCCCCCCCCCACCTAATTTTATTCCTATCACATAGGGATTTAAAATCCTCTAAGTGGTAGTTTGGAGGTGACAGGTTCTTTTTATGGAACCTGCCCTCGAACACAGAACTGATGTTCTGTGTAGTTCCTGACAGCTGAGACAGGTTCTTTTTATGGAACCTGCCCTCGAACACAGAACTGATGTTCTGTGTAGTTCCTGACAGCTGAGACAGGTGGCGCTGTGATCACAGCGCAACGGTCTCAGTGATAACACAGAGCAGGCGAAAAACCTCCGTTTTCCGTCTGCTCTATGGTGAGCTCATGTTCCGTGGTTTCGGGTCCGCTAGAGGAGCGGGGACCCCGAAAACCACGGGGGGAGGGTGTGTGGACAGAATCGCCGCCTCTCATTTCATACAAGTGATCAGATCACTTGAAAACGAGCGGCGGCTCCACACTGTACACTTAGCTCTACTTGTCCGGAGCGGGGCTAAGTGTACAAAAAAACTACTCGCCCGGCGCCCGAAACTGCATGTCCAGGGCGTCGGGCGATAGGAATTCCACACACCTGTGGGTATTATAGTTTTTTGAGGTTTCGCGCACGCAATTTTAAATCATGAAGGGGTTAATATAGTAAAAACTAAAAACCCCAGAGGGGAATAAATACCACCAAAAGAAAGCTCTATCTGTCCCCCAAAAAATTATATAAAATTAATTTCAGTACATTGCATGACGGAATAAATGTCAGTCAAAGTACCGCAGCGCTGAACACTGAAAAATGGCCTAGATGTCAACTGGTTAAACATTTGTGCAAATATCGTGCAACATAAAACGTGCAACTAGCATTTTTTTTTATTGTACAGGGCCTCTGCTTTCAGAAAATATATAATTGTTGGGGGGTTTTAAGCTGTTTTCTAGCCAAAATGTTAGATTTGATCATGTAATAAGAAATTGCTCTGGACAGCAAGTGGTTAAAAAACAGTCAAATGAAGAGACTTCACAGTACAGGGCAATGCCCAGAAGCAAAATGGCCACTGCGGACTGTGAATCCACTTCCGGGCATAGAGATGAGAAGGAGGCTTTAAGCTCGTCCCCGCCTCTTCCTGTATTCGTCTCTTCTGTGCAGGGGCTGTGCTGGTTGATGGGGATATGGAGAACCTGGCTGCCGGTAGTCGTGAGACTTTGTTGCAGGAACTGAAGGAATACACTGAGCGATGTCAGAACCGGCTGAGCGAGCTGCTTCAGGAACTGGGCTGGGAACAGAGCAGCCCGGGAAAGGAGGAGGTGGGTGATAAGGGTGACTGTATCTCATACATGTGGTATTGGTTTCCCATGCCCTCTATGCTGTGTAATGATTGTGAAGCTCATTGCTGCCCCTGTCCATTATATGACAGTCCTGTGTGAGGGCACTAAAAGTGTCAGCAGTCCCTGTCCATTATATGACAGTCCTGTATGAGGGCACTACAAGTGTCGGCGATCCCTGTCCATTAAATGACAGTCCTGTGGGAGGGCACTACAAGTGTCAGCAGTCCCTATCCATTATATGACAGTCCTGTATGAGGGCACTACAAGTGTCGGCGATCCCTGTCCATTAAATGACAGTCCTGTGGGAGGGCACTACAAGTGTCAGCAGTCCCTATCCATTATATGACAGTCCTGTATGAGGGCACTACAAGTGTCGGCGATCCCTGTCCATTAAATGACAGTCCTGTGGGAGGGCACTACAAGTGTCAGCAGTCCCTATCCATTATATGACAGTCCTGTATGAGGGCACTACAAGTGTCGGCGATCCCTGTCCATTAAATGACAGTCCTGTGGGAGGGCACTACAAGTGTCAGCAGTCCCTATCCATTATATGACAGTCCTGTATGAGGGCACTACAAGTGTCGGCGATCCCTGTCCATTAAATGACAGTCCTGTGGGAGGGCACTACAAGTGTCAGCAGTCCCTATCCATTATATGACAGTCCTGTATGAGGGCACTACAAGTGTCGGCGATCCCTGTCCATTAAATGACAGTCCTGTGGGAGGGCACTACAAGTGTCAGCAGTCCCTATCCATTATATGACAGTCCTGTATGAGGGCACTACAAGTGTCGGCGATCCCTGTCCATTAAATGACAGTCCTGTGGGAGGGCACTACAAGTGTCAGCAGTCCCTATCCATTATATGACAGTCCTGTATGAGGGCACTACAAGTGTCGGCGATCCCTGTCCATTAAATGACAGTCCTGTGGGAGGGCACTACAAGTGTCAGCAGTCCCTATCCATTATATGACAGTCCTGTATGAGGGCACTACAAGTGTCGGCGATCCCTGTCCATTAAATGACAGTCCTGTGGGAGGGCACTACAAGTGTCAGCAGTCCCTATCCATTATATGACAGTCCTGTATGAGGGCACTACAAGTGTCGGCGATCCCTGTCCATTAAATGACAGTCCTGTGGGAGGGCACTACAAGTGTCAGCAGTCCCTATCCATTATATGACAGTCCTGTATGAGGGCACTACAAGTGTCGGCGATCCCTGTCCATTAAATGACAGTCCTGTGGGAGGGCACTACAAGTGTCAGCAGTCCCTATCCATTATATGACAGTCCTGTATGAGGGCACTACAAGTGTCGGCGATCCCTGTCCATTAAATGACAGTCCTGTGGGAGGGCACTACAAGTGTCAGCAGTCCCTATCCATTATATGACAGTCCTGTATGAGGGCACTACAAGTGTCGGCGATCCCTGTCCATTAAATGACAGTCCTGTGGGAGGGCACTACAAGTGTCAGCAGTCCCTATCCATTATATGACAGTCCTGTATGAGGGCACTACAAGTGTCGGCGATCCCTGTCCATTAAATGACAGTCCTGTGGGAGGGCACTACAAGTGTCAGCAGTCCCTATCCATTATATGACAGTCCTGTATGAGGGCACTACAAGTGTCGGCGATCCCTGTCCATTAAATGACAGTCCTGTGGGAGGGCACTACAAGTGTCAGCAGTCCCTATCCATTATATGACAGTCCTGTATGAGGGCACTACAAGTGTCGGCGATCCCTGTCCATTAAATGACAGTCCTGTGGGAGGGCACTACAAGTGTCAGCAGTCCCTATCCATTATATGACAGTCCTGTATGAGGGCACTACAAGTGTCGGCGATCCCTGTCCATTAAATGACAGTCCTGTGGGAGGGCACTACAAGTGTCAGCAGTCCCTATCCATTATATGACAGTCCTGTATGAGGGCACTACAAGTGTCGGCGATCCCTGTCCATTAAATGACAGTCCTGTGGGAGGGCACTACAAGTGTCAGCAGTCCCTATCCATTATATGACAGTCCTGTATGAGGGCACTACAAGTGTCGGCGATCCCTGTCCATTAAATGACAGTCCTGTGGGAGGGCACTACAAGTGTCAGCAGTCCCTATCCATTATATGACAGTCCTGTATGAGGGCACTACAAGTGTCGGCGATCCCTGTCCATTAAATGACAGTCCTGTGGGAGGGCACTACAAGTGTCAGCAGTCCCTATCCATTATATGACAGTCCTGTATGAGGGCACTACAAGTGTCGGCGATCCCTGTCCATTAAATGACAGTCCTGTGGGAGGGCACTACAAGTGTCAGCAGTCCCTATCCATTATATGACAGTCCTGTATGAGGGCACTACAAGTGTCGGCGATCCCTGTCCATTAAATGACAGTCCTGTGGGAGGGCACTACAAGTGTCAGCAGTCCCTATCCATTATATGACAGTCCTGTATGAGGGCACTACAAGTGTCGGCGATCCCTGTCCATTAAATGACAGTCCTGTGGGAGGGCACTACAAGTGTCAGCAGTCCCTATCCATTATATGACAGTCCTGTATGAGGGCACTACAAGTGTCGGCGATCCCTGTCCATTAAATGACAGTCCTGTGGGAGGGCACTACAAGTGTCAGCAGTCCCTATCCATTATATGACAGTCCTGTATGAGGGCACTACAAGTGTCGGCGATCCCTGTCCATTAAATGACAGTCCTGTGGGAGGGCACTACAAGTGTCAGCAGTCCCTATCCATTATATGACAGTCCTGTATGAGGGCACTACAAGTGTCGGCGATCCCTGTCCATTAAATGACAGTCCTGTGGGAGGGCACTACAAGTGTCAGCAGTCCCTATCCATTATATGACAGTCCTGTATGAGGGCACTACAAGTGTCGGCGATCCCTGTCCATTAAATGACAGTCCTGTGGGAGGGCACTACAAGTGTCAGCAGTCCCTATCCATTATATGACAGTCCTGTATGAGGGCACTACAAGTGTCGGCGATCCCTGTCCATTAAATGACAGTCCTGTGGGAGGGCACTACAAGTGTCAGCAGTCCCTATCCATTATATGACAGTCCTGTATGAGGGCACTACAAGTGTCGGCGATCCCTGTCCATTAAATGACAGTCCTGTGGGAGGGCACTACAAGTGTCAGCAGTCCCTATCCATTATATGACAGTCCTGTATGAGGGCACTACAAGTGTCGGCGATCCCTGTCCATTAAATGACAGTCCTGTGGGAGGGCACTACAAGTGTCAGCAGTCCCTATCCATTATATGACAGTCCTGTATGAGGGCACTACAAGTGTCGGCGATCCCTGTCCATTAAATGACAGTCCTGTGGGAGGGCACTACAAGTGTCAGCAGTCCCTATCCATTATATGACAGTCCTGTATGAGGGCACTACAAGTGTCGGCGATCCCTGTCCATTAAATGACAGTCCTGTGGGAGGGCACTACAAGTGTCAGCAGTCCCTATCCATTATATGACAGTCCTGTGTGAGGGCACTACAAGTGTCAGCAATCCCTGTGCATTAAACTCTTCAGTCCCGGATACACACAGCTACACACCGGGACCTACCAGAGCTGCTGAGACCAGAGGCAAGGAGGAAGGTGCAGGAGAGTCCCATCGTCAGCGGGAGACGAGGGGAACTTCCTTCACAGCCGGTAATTGTCCATGGCCCCCAGGCTTCTCCTAATCACAGGAACCGGGCCAGCCTGTCCAGGTCCCCACTTTGCTGCAGAGCCTCGCACACGCAGGTGGCGTGCTCTGGGGAGAAGGGCAGGGTTAAGGTAAAAAAACAAAAACCTTTAACCCTGCAGCATGCCCGCAGCAGAGCTAAATGTTTTAAAAAACCGGCGCTTGAAAACTGCATGTCCCGGCTGTCGGGCGATAAGATTCGAGCATCCCTGCTTGTGACGTAATGCAGCATTATGGGCACAAGAAGGGCATGAGGAGCATAGGAGATAAAATACATCTTTCCTATGCTCAGCGCCATCTAGTGGCCATAATGCAGTATTACAGTACAGTACATTCAACTGGAAATGAAAATATAGCAGGAATGTTTGTTTTTGCCACAAAACGAATGTTCAGATATTCAGAGGACGAAGGGCCCCGCAAATTGTTTATAAATAGACCCCCAAGTGTGCAGAGTTTTACTTACTTTATTTTCCCCTTTTGAATGCTGCTTGAGTAGAGAAGGCTGTTCTGTATTGTCACGCTGTAGAGAAAGACCCTTTATTCTCTGTGTGGAAGCAGTGGTCTCTCCAGAGACCACATACCCCCCTCATACCCCCCTTCCCCCTTCTGAATTGGAGCTGGATCACTTCAATGAGCAAAGCTCATGTTCCCTGCTGATTCCATTTCTGACCCACTGCCGGCTCAGTGGTTATCGCTTATGCCATGCAGTACTGGAGTCCTTGGCTTGAATACTGGCCAGCACACTATCTGCATGGAGTTTGTTCTCCCTGTGCTTGCATAGTTTTCCTTTTAGACTCCAAAGACTAGATGGTAGGTTAATTGTCTTCTGTGTGAATTGGCCCTAGTATATGTATATAAATGTGAGGTAACATCTGCAGGTAGAAAATCATGGAAATCGGGGCCTAGGAAAAATGGATCTTACGGACTTCCAGCAGCCTTTCAGCAAAGCATATTCTATTAGAACTATTGCTAAACCTGTCTTCTCCCTTTGTCAGGAGACGTCCATCTGTCCCTATGATTCCAACCACAGAATGCCGGTATCTTCTCTGGAGAAGCATGCCAGTGTATGTAGACTACGACGGTTGGGGTACAGTAAGGAAGAGGTAACTATAAAGAAATGTATGCTGTTATACATTATACAATGCAGTATAACCAGAAAACTTTTGTCTGAGGGCCTGTTCACACCACGTCCGTTTTCTGTGCTGACCTGATCCGTACGCTCCTGCACTCAAAATGTATCCCTATGTTTTTTATGGGCTACAGTTCTCACGTGCGCAGTCCGTTCAGCTTACGACAGAAAAATACTACATGTCGCATTTTGTACGGTCAGGAAATGCAAACGCGTCCAAAACGCAGCTAACATACTAACAGCCCCACTCTACTGGAACGCATCAAAAACGCGGCCAAAACGCACTGCATCAGTAGCACCGCGTCTGCAGATCTGGATCTGATCAGGACCTGAAACTCATGTGAACAGGCCCTGAATAGATGCAGCATATGACATCACATTTTGCTATTGCTGTGATAAAATCTTGTTCCTCCTGTAATCACTTTGCCAATCCCTTTATTCCAAGCAGAGAAATAGAAATATGAATGGTCATTTTACTGGCATAGAACATGCCTCTGGGCCTGGCGATCTTTACATAATAAAAATGATCATTAGTGCGGCCTTCCTCAACCAGGAAGCCTCAAAATTTTCACACAGCTTAGGGCTTGTTCACATCAAATGCAGACTAGATCTGCATGAGTTTCCGCACATGCAGTGCAGTGTGTTTTGCCGCGTTTTTGATGCGTTCCGGACCGTTTTTGTAAACAAAAAAGATTATTATTCTTTTTATTAGCCTAAAATGGGTTCTCAGTGCGTTGCAGGGCGTTTGCATGCATTCCGGAGCAGGAAATATAGGGCTTGCTGCAGTTTTTTTTTACATGCTCTGGAACTGTACGCTGCGGTTTGAACTAGAGCCCAAAATACCATTGGAATACATTGGACGCAGTTTTGATCCGTTCTGTAACGGCTCTGTTCCTGGAACGCGCTTGGTGTGAACTAGCCCTTAGACCCCGTTCACATTGAGCGATTTATTGCGCGGTAATTCCCGCGATATCGCGGCAAATTGCCGTGCGATATCGCGCTCCAATGCAATCCAATGGGGCAAAGGGTCCTGCTGTCGCGTGTCGTGTGTCGCTACAGCAGGACCCTTTTTGGAGCGGATTTAGCCGCGATTCAAGCTTGCTCAATGCAAGCTTGAACGCGACATCGTGCGGCAAATCTCGCGATGTCGCGCAATATGCAAATCATGCGACAAACGCGCGATTTGCATATCGCACAGTGGGAACGGGGCCTTAATGTCTCCATGGTCTAGGCTTCTGATGCAAAGGCGTTGGGGGTTCTTGATATTAAGGGGTGTTCCTGATGTACAGCGAGTCACAGAACAGAATAAATGGTCGCCAGCACTCCAAGTATTCTTCAATATGAAATCTTTTTATTCATCTTAGCAGGTCATATTACCATGCGTGGCAACATTTTGGAACCTGTCCGGTCCCTTCATCAGGCGAGCAAAGTTTGTTCACTTTGTTTGCCTGATAACCGGACAGGTTCCAAAATGTTGCCACGCATGGTAATATGACCTGCTAAGATGAATAAAAAGATTTCATATTGAAGAATACTTGGAGTGCTGGCGACCATTTATTCTGTTCTGTGAGTACTTGGTGCCATCTGCGGCCACTTCAGCACCCCCCCTCCATGATCTCGGTCAGTAGTGCAGTGGGACTCCCTATTTTGATGTACAGGGAGGGTTCCTAGTGTGAGAGAACGAGCTGGGATGTGAAAAGAGGGGGCTCTTGCTGTTATGTAAAAAGGGGAGGTTCTGATTTGAAGGGGGGAATCCTTAGTTTTTGTTTTTGAATGGGGTCTCCCCTTAAAATCTATAATGGGATAAGGGCCTGGTATAGCTTTTGAAAGGGGCCACACATAGTTTTTTACATTTTAAGACTGAAATGCCTGGAGATTTTGTATACTTTTAGAGGGTGCCGTTACTGAAAAAAGGTTGAGAAATGCGGTGCTAGTGTACCAACTAACTGCTTTTGTTTTATCCTTGCTTTTATTTGTTTTAAATTGCAGACAGAAGCCCCTAACCCCAAGTTTTTCTATGAAAAAACAAACGCACTTTGCATTGTTCTAGGTATGTATAATATAAATCTCAGGGTGTATGTTTCATGTAATGTGCTGTCTGGCAAAAGAAGACGGCAGGGTAGGTGAAGGTTTGACATCATCACTTTGCTGCTGCTTAATTGTCCATTTGGCATTCTGGGGGGGTGTTTTCACTAGAGTTCTCGACTACACTGTTCTTTTTTTATTTATTTAAAGAATACAAGGTAATCAGTGCCTTGTGCTGAAAAATGAAAAAAGCAAGGCACCTCCCCCCACACCAGACGCTAGCCTGCACGCTAAAATGGATAATTGTACAGTGCAGGCTTGTGGTAACTGTCCCGGAGGGAATTTTTCTATATTACAATGATTGTCCTTTTAGCCTTAAAGGAGAACTATGGGGTCAGTGTTTTTCCCCATAGTTCTCCTTAGGGTAACGGGAGGACACAAACTAGCGTCCTCCCGTCACCCTAGGCTCAGTATTCCGCGAGCTACAGCTCGCGGTATACTGAGACGCACACTCATCTCATAGTTCTCCTTTTTAATTTTTAAGATTTCTTTTTTTCAGTTAACAAATTATTATAGAAAATGTATTAAATATAGCCAAATAGTGAGGTGGACCAGTAATTTTTTTGATGCAAGTTATGTTGTGTGTCCTCCGTAGTAGAGCAGCTTACTCTACTGATGTTATGTTGTGTGTCCTCCGTAGTAGAGCAGCTTACTCTACCGATGTTGTGTTGTGTGTCCTCCGTAGTAGAGCAGCTTACTCTCTCGGGGTAGAAATCTCAGAGTGGCCATTTTTCCTCCTTGGATTTTAAAGGTGCAAATTCCAGAGCTGTCATCTTAATCTCTGTTAGTTGCATTGTTGTCACTACCCACCTTGCCCTAAATGTAATCTATGCTTTACCCATCCGCGGCAAAGCAACTGGGTCGCTTAGCTGCCTGGTTAAGAACAGAAATCACTGCGCTGGGAATGCGTGCCTAACTACCTGATTGGACCAGCTGCATAATGTGTATAGGTGAATGTGTATAGGTAAAGCAAATATGTTGTGGTCGGTCTATATGAACCAACTACACACTAAAGTGTTAATAAGCAAATCTGTGTAACATTACGACAATCCTTGTGAAAAAATATTGATACAAGTGAATTATTTACATATGACTAGAAGGTTCAACGCACAAACATAATAATAAAAATCAACACTGGAACCTTCAGAATTAGTGCCAGTGATCAACCTCAGTGGTTCGGCATGTTTATCTCAAGCATGCGAACCTCTGGCTAGCCGTGTAGTAAAACAACACAGAAAACTTAAATTCAAACCGGAGGTTGATCACTGGCACTAATTCTGAAGGTTCCAGTGTTGATTTGTATTATGTTTGTGTGTTGAACCTTCTAGTCATATGTAAATAATTCACTTGTATCAATACTTTTTCATACTGGTTGTCAGTTAAGTATTTACACCCCATACAGGTGGTGGATGTGGATATTGGTATTATGTGCTATGTACCAAGAAGTGCTGCTGACGTAGGAATCTTTTGAGTGCATTGACTTCAGATTATGTGCTTCACTCTAACAGATAAAGCTAAACAGTTTGAGATCATCAAAGAAGCTAAGGCTGCAGCACCTAATACGAGTGAAAATGGTTTATGGGAGAAAAGTAAGTGAAACCGTAACATCACACATTCCTACAGAAGTAATCTGCAATAAATTGAAATTGTGAATGTTTTAACGCAACTGCCTGACAATTTGCATTTGCGCAATGAGTTTAGTATTGCTTGTTAACAGTGTCCGAGGGAAAGATACTTCTAAGTCAGAAGCTTTAGATTGCAAGTGTAAAGTAAAAACATAATCTCATATAAAGTAGTGGCAAGGTAGCAGGTTCGCTTAGCTGACCTCTGCCCACTTGCCCCCTATATCCACCTTCCCTTCACTCCTCTTCCCAATACACTTAGCAGGGCAAAAAGAAGCTCCACTACACTTTGGTCAGCGCTTACATGGTTCTCAGGGCCCTCAGTCATCATGAGTTGCATGCTGCCTCCAGTACCCATAAGTACCAGGTATGTCACTTTCTTTCCAGTTGGTTAGTGGAAGGGATGAAGGGGTAGTTCCATTACATGAAAAATAAATTAATTTACAGCCCATGTATTACTTTTTTTCCCCCCCTTTACACACAAAGTGTAGCTTTGCTAGTGAATGAAAATGCTAATCGTGTTGTCAGTCTGATCTTTTGGCTTCCGTCACCTGGAACAAGTGTGTAGTAAGTGAAGTACAGAGCTGTATACTTGTTCTAGGTCTGCTATAAAGAAAGTATTGAAACCACTGGATCACCATGACAGGCAGGCAACTATCATTTTCAGAAGGAGGTCGCATTTGCTGCCCCTTTTTATTTTTCACAGCACAAGCTTAATTTCTTCTTCCGGTCTTCAGTTAGATACAATGTACAATTGAACCACTAGATGGAGCTGGTGTGTCTCATTACATATTTAGAGCTAGCACAGTCAGCTGTTTGGATATCGTATGGTCAGACCTGAAAATACAACCATAGCAAGCTACTAAGTACTTAAAAAATAAATAAGTGCAGTTTTAGATCAAGTGCACTTATTCTGTTACCCACCCTCCCCCTCTGCAGTTCTAGACTTACAGAGATCCAAGAGCCGCTGCTCCTTTTGTTTACATCCAGCACCGCAAGTTTCCCTATCCTGGATGCATCCATCTCCTGGCTGGAAGACAGTCCCATAGAGGTCTATGGGGCTATTATGTGCAGGTGCAGTCAGCAGAGGGAGCATTGCGGCGCTGGATGTAAACAATAGTGGAACCATGCCTGTCGGATCTTGCCAAGTACAAATCTGCAGAGTGGGAGGGTGGGGTTGTTTGAGTCAGGGCTGGCAACCAGAAAGGATAAGTACACTTTGTTTTAAAGTGCACTTATCTTTTCATTTTCTACTAAGAGGTATTACAGAAGGTGCTTACTTAAAGTGGAATCATTCTGCTTCTGCCAATTAAAAACTGATTGATATGATACTTTATTGAATTTTGGGACATAGAAAAATGATCTCCTATCTATAACTGATTGTGATCAATTGAATGGTAAAGGTAATATGGTTAATTTCTGAATATTGCAAGTTATTCGTACAATGAAAGTGTTTGATTACTCCTTTTTTTTAATTTTCATTTAAACAATATCTCTGTTGATTCTCTCTCCCTTTTCACAGCAGTGGTGAGTATAGGTCGGGATAAGTCTTGATATTTCACAGAACCACTGTGCTTATGTACAGTATCCTTTTTCAAGTGATATCCTTTTACAACAACATTCTTAAAGAAAGTTGTGACTGACTGCAATGACTTGGGCTAGACTTGTGTATGTTTGTGAGAGAAACAAAGAGCAAAGTTAAGTTTTTGACCAATTTTAAGGGGTTAATATGTGAATTGGTTGATCTTCTAAACCAGACACCCACTATTTATTGCAGCTTCCAGGGGTGTGGAAATGTAAAAAAAACTACTTGTCCAAGGACTAAAGAGGGGGCCCAATCTACTTGTCCCTCATAACAATCTACTTGTTGTGATGCAAAAATAATTTTAACCACAAACATATTTAACCGTGCTAAGAAGCACTACTTATTGTCAGCACGGTCAGGTGACTGCGAGCAACGATTGCTCGCAAATTTGCGAGTGACATTCAAAATCCATGGCTCAGGGCTGCGCTAGACGACAGTTTGGGGTACAGATGGTACCCCCGTACTGGCGGAGGGGAAAGACTTTGCCGAAAGGTAAGTATAGCAGAAGGGGACAGGGGGCCAGATTTCAACTGGTAATTCAATTTTGCCAAATTACTTTGCAAAGTGAACTTATCCTTAAATGTACATTATGTGCGCGTGCACACACACAATGGCCTATGCGTGCGTTTATTTGCAGTGGGGGCGGTTTTGATTTTTTTAAATTTATTTTTATTCTACTTTTTTCGCTTTTTTTTTTTTTTTATTACTGTGTGATAGCATTTGGAGGTGACAGGTTCTCCTTTATGTTACCTGCCCTCCAATACTGGAGTTCGAACACAACACTGTGCTCAATCTCCTGTGCAGCCGAGACAGGAATGCTACAAGTACAACTTTGAAGGCTAACTGTAAATGCTTCAGTGTGACACATGGAGCAGTTCTTTGAGTACAGAGTCCTGTTTCCACTGCAGTATACGCCCCAGCTGCTGCTATTGCTAGCTGCACAGTATCGGTTTAGATAGCTCGTTGTGCCAATGGTCAGCACACGTGTACTTGGCTCCTTCTCGATAATTCTTTGTGAAGAGTCTACACAGTCCACATGAAAAATAAGCAAGCCACGGAGATCTTTTTTCATCTCTGCTGTTACCCTACTGTTTTCCCCACCATAGAATAGAATTTGTTTACATTATTACATTAGTTCTTCTATACTTCATCTATTTTGGTATACTGCTTTTATGCGTATGTGTGCAGATCTTGACCATTTTATATTACTGGACTTTACACTGCATTTTAATTCTTTGTAGAAGAAATAAACTGATGTTGGTTGACAAAGGCCTACATTTTTCCAGTTGATATACCTGAGAATTGATCACATTGGCCTGATGGTGTCCCAAGAGGCTTGAAATGTTGCATTTACGATGCAATCCTTTAAGTTTAGAGCGGGAATCCAGCCCTGTAAAAAAAGAACAAAGAAACAAAAAAAACCCTCTAGCTACTTTAAAAAAAAAAAAATGTTTTAACACCCAGTAATACCTTAATCTGGAACCCCATGACAGCTGGTGTCCCAGTCCTCTGAGCATCAGGACTGTAATGTTGACGGGTACGAATATCATTACCCATGTCCCATCCTTTATTCAAAAAATGAGCTAGAGGATTTTTCAGTATCCTATATGACTGGATATACACTTTAATAAATCCTAGACTTTCAATAAGATCCAGGTTGTACCTTAAGGGTACCTATGAATAAGGCACTGGATTTTTTTATTCATGTCTAGCCAAATACCGTATTTTGCGGTCTATAAGACGCTCCGGACGATAGGACGCATGGCTTCTGTGACAGAAATTCTATGACAGAAATTCTGTCACAGAAGCTGCAGTTAGTGACTGCTGAGACAGGTGGCGCTGTCTCAGTAATTACACGGAGCAGACGAAGAACGACGTTCTTTGTCTGCTCAATGGGCTCTATGGTGAGCTCCTATGGGGGACCGTGACGGGTCACGGTCACCCAGAGGAACGGGGTACCCAGAAAACCACGGCGGGGGGCGGACACGATCGCCGATGCCGCCGCCGCTCGATTTAATACAAGGGATCTAATTAGATCCCTTGTATTAAACGAACAGCGGCTCCCACTGTACATTCAGCTCTGCTTGTCAGGAGCAGGGCTGAATGTACAAAAAGAAACTACTCGCCCGGGGCATGCAGTTTCGGGCGCCGGGCGATAGGTATTAGCTCCATAAGACGCAGGCACATTTTCCCCCTCCTTTTGGGGGAAAAAAAGTGCGTCTTATGGAGCGAAAAATACGGTATCTTACCAGATGGATATGAATAAATAACAGTGACGTGCAGTAAGGTCCATGCTAGGTGAGGCATTCCCCCTGCTCTGTCCCGTCCCCAGCCTGCCACCGCCCACCCCCAACCCTGTCACTGAGCTGTGTGTGGAGGGGGGAGGGAGAAGGGAGGAGAGGGATGTCCTCAGTGTTTTGGTTTTTTTTTTTTGATTGGACAGCTTGGACCAAAGGCTGTTGCTACTCTGGCTTCACTATGTAAGGTTACACAAAGTAGTGGGGAAGCCTGCTGCTGTGTAACCTAAAAAGCTGTCAAAAGCTGGGTGAAGTGTCGCCTATAATTAACAGGCAGTGCTCGGTCCATGACAGCTTACACAGTGGAGAGGCTTTCCCTCCTGTGTAACCTGTTAGAAACTGGTCTGAATGGAGAAAAAGCTGTCAGCTTCAGGCTTGAAGCTGACAGCTTTTTCTTCCATAATACTAGATGAGACTCTGCCTCCCCTGACCGAACATCCCTGATTATTAAATTTAATAAATATTAGTGACTTCCAAAATGTGCTTATTATATACCATTAGTAGCTTTGTAGTCTATCAGCCAAGTATGTACATTTAGGCTGCTTTTTGGCTTTTTCTCTGGAGAACGGTAGTGATCATTCTTCCCCAGAGGTAAGCCAGCCATGAGTTTTGTACAAAGGTCTCCATTCCCATGGAGAGGTGTATAGGAAATGTAATATTAGCATTTTTGCTGCTTAGAAACCCTTGCCACAAATCTTTATTGGTTATCGGTATTTTAGCAAAAATACCCATGAAGAATGCATTTTAAAATGTTACCCCAGATGAACGTGTAATTTACATATGGGCTGCTGAATCCATGAGATGTTTATTGAATATGGAATGGAAGGCTGGACAAATTCTAGGAGCTGGGTAGCCAATGGGCCTTAAAATTTACTGCTGGCACCTAACTTTTGAGCTTTTCTGGGATAGTTCTAATCAATAGACTGGCTTCTGGATTGGCTGGCCCCTGGATTCCATATTAATTTGCCCACCCCTGATGGAATGTTTAACTTGTAAATCTTCCTGTATGTAAAAGAGGCCATAATATTTTTTTTATCTCATTATCTAGCTTTTACTAGAGTGTGTTTTTATATGTGTGATACAGCTTTGTTGGTTTTAGCCTTTTTGAACGTTGGCCTTTAAATTGTGATTTAATTATTTGAAACTATGCACTATACTTGGGTATATCTTTATGGATCTTTTGCACTTGCTTTAGGTTTATATTCATCTTTACCTGCTGAAGTTCCCCATAATCACAAGCACACAATCTGTGATTTAAAAGCTGGTGATCGCCTTGCGATCTATGACTATGTCAAACATGAGACAAAGCTGGATAGATCTGGTTCTGAGAAGAACGAAGCCGATCTGCTTGAGGATTTAACAGCCAAGATCAATCAAGGTATAAGTTTCTTCGCCTTGCTTTTCCTTTGCTTTATGCAAGACGCTCTGTTTTTAATTCCATTTTGTCTGAAATTATTGGTTTTTTTTTTAACTCTTTATTGACTGAGACAATTACAGAGAATACATTAACAGTATGGGAAGTAGGCATAGATAGTTATAACATTGCAAACGTGTTTAGTTCCAGTACAAAATGATTGCTTCCCTCCAAGAGTCTGCAGAGATTTACCCCTGTTGATAGGGAAGCTCCTTAGCTAGCTATGATTCCTGTAAGTAGCTGTCTCTCATGGTCAAAGGAAAAGGCAGTAGGAAAAAGACCAGGAAAAGGGGAAAAAGAGGGCGGGGTCCGGGCAGAGCCCGATGCTCCTATCAGGGGTCATAGTCCCCATGGAAGGCAGGTGTATGGGTATCAAACCAGATGCATGTATGCTTGCAGGAGACTGTCAAGGGTGGCTGAGGGAGGGATTCCCAATCGTGCCGTCCTGAGAGAGCAGCTGAGGCCGCTGCGGAGAGGTCCTGTAGCTCAACCATGGCCTCCAGGTGGCATTAAATTTACCTTCTGTATTTTTCAGGAAGGCCATTAGATCCTCTATCAGGTAGATGTCCTGGACTCTGGAGAGCCATAACTGGACCGTGGGAGGTTGGGGTCTCGCCACTTCAGGGGTATACACGCTCTAGCAGCATTCAACAGATGGTGTGTTAAAGAGTGTCTGTCTATATTTGAAAATCGGATGTGGGGTTAGGTGAAACAGACAAGCCGCCGGGTCATCCCTGAGGTCTGCCCCTGTCAAGGTCTCAATAATCCCCAGTACCCGCTCCCAGAAGGGCTGTATTTCAGGGCAAGCCCAAAATGCATGCAACATCGTACTTGAGGTCCTGCCACATCTCCAACATTGGTCCAGAATCGAACCGTTCATCTTATGTAGCAACCAAGGGACCCTATACCAGCGCGTCAAATCTTGTATCCCGCCTCCTGGTATCTGCAGACTAGGGATGCTTTGAAAGACATAGCAAGGATAGTGTGAAATGTTTGTTTTGTAACAAAATAAATCATTGCTTCCTTTCTTTGAAATGAAACCCATATCCATGTCTATTTGCTTCAAAGATGATGGCCAGAAATGTCCAAAGTCCCATCTTGAAATTATGGCAGAAATGAGAGACTACAAAAGGAGAAGGCAATCTTACAGGGCAAAGAACGTTCACATAACAAAGAAATCTTACACTGAGGTAATTCTTTGTCCGTTTACTGAATGATTTATACACTTGTAGCTTTACATAAAAATATTGCATTCGTACCAAAGGATTCCCAGAGGACTATGGTTTACCTGACTTCAGCTAGGCGTCGATTTAAGAAAAAGTCACTGCCATCAGGGCATTGAACTTGCCAGTAACTATGGAAAAGTAAAGTATCAGTTCAGGGATGTAAGCAGTAACTGACTGGTAGGTTGACCTATATAGAGTGTTGGTACACCATACAGTAGGGCAACAGTTTTGAAATTTTGAAGACAGAAAATAATGCATTTGCCTGAGGAGAGTTGTACAGACATTTAGGAAATGGAGAAAGTACAGAGAGCTTACAAACTTAAAATTGGGAATATCTGGATCTATACTGGCTAGGGATATGTAGTCCGTGAGCGGTACCATGGGTAGGTTACGGATGGAGAAAGAGATGTAACACATTTTGCACCTTTTTAAAACCAATTTCAAGATTCTTTTAAAATTCCTCAATTGTGACGTGTGTGTTTTCGTTCCTTCCTTCATTTTATGCACAGCTGCTTTTTTTTTTTTCCTTTCAGATAATACGAGATGTCATCAGTGTTCATATGGAAGAGTTGAGCAGCAATTGGCGTGATGACATGCATGATGAAGCTAGCTCCTCTATTTCTTCTTCCTCAATTAATAGGTAAAGCTGTAGGCTGTCTGCCTATATAAGTCCTACCCTGGTTATAAATAGTTTATGAAATAGGTTTTTGGTAGGTGCATAAAACTTGCCTTCCCATACACACCATCTGTTGTGTTTTAGATATTAATAAGCTTGCAGTATGCAAAATAAACTATCCGAGCTTTAATAATATAGTAATTGTGGGAGCCCCTTCTGTTTGAACTATTAAGTTTATTAGGAACTTTGCTGTGTTGCACTGCACTTGTAATTTGATGGAATAACTGGATAATCTTTCTAACATTTTTATTCACAGAAAAGAACAGCAGAGGTCTCCATCTGTTGAGTCCAGACAGTCTGCAGGAAGTCAAAGGGACAGACGTCGACCTGGTCATAAGAGAGACCGCAGCAGGAGTCCGCGCAAACGCAGAAGCAGGGAAAGAGACCGAGGTTTTAGACCTAAAAAAGACAGGCAAGATGTTTCACTTTATTTTTTAATTCTTTATTTAGGAACACCGGCAAAGGCACATACAAAGAAACATTAATCAGACGGCATACAGCCATAGTGTGTAATTGAATTAAGCAAGAGAAAAATCCCACTCAGAGAATGCAGTACCACAGTTATTAACGGTACCAAATATGGGGGAAGGCTGCTGCCTTTGCTAGTGAAAATGTTTTATTTTTTTTATAAAACCACATAACATAAAGAGAAACAGGGAAGAGAGATTGAAAATTGAGGCGTAAGAAAGTCAAGAAAAAGAATTAAAGCATTGAAGCATTAAGTCACGAAAGTAAATAGGAGGTGGTGAAAAAGGGGGGGGG